TATAAACATACACATTCGCATACACATACAAGCATATATATATTTATATCCATTCCACTCTCTCTCTCTCACACACACACTCGTAGACATGCATACACGTAAAGAAGTTCGGCCGTCAACCGTAGAGAACCCGTAACGAGGCAATCCGGTCGTCACGGCTAGCAGTATCCATCGGCTTGTGTTGCCTTCATTTTTCTTCGTCTATTGCCTCTTTGTGGATAGGCTGGTGCACATGCATCCGACTTCTCAGATGAACTGTTTCATTTTTTGCCGCACTTGTGCAAGTGAGGCAGAATGAAGCTGGTTGTGTAGCCACACTTTAAACCGGCAGTGATTAGCTGTACATTCTTTGAGTCTTGCGTCCAATTTGGCTGCTGATGCCCAGGACGAGGGAATCGATGCCAAATCCTCACCAAAAGCACCTCCTCTCACCAGCACGAAGATGGCTTTGCCCCTCTACCAGACGGGTGGCCGGTCTGAAAGAGTGTTGTAAAGTTCATACGAATAGATAAGAGGATCAGACAGGTGCCGATACTATCGTCTTCAGTCTCCACTTTCGCCCATCGGTGCGGCTCGTCTCGAGTCCTGGCCGCGCCACTTTTGGCTTCTCGTCTCTCGCCTCTCGCCTCTCACCTCGACGACCAGAAACCGAGAAGAGCCCGTCCAAGCGGGCGCAAATCTTGTCTAACAGGGTTCTTGAAAAGGGATCAAACCCAAATGGCGTCTCAGTCTGCAAGTTGCTTTGCCTAAACTGGTTCATCCCAGTTGCGGGACTCCCAGACACCACCGAGACGAGGGACGCCTAAAATGGGTGTGTGTGTGTGTGGGTGGGTATGTGTATGTTGGGGGATGGGTGCTTGCATATGTGAAGACATGGAAGGAGGACGAAAAAGTGGATATTGGCCTATAGAGCCGACAAAACGAAAAGTTATATCGTCTAATTGCCGAGGTTTAGGGTAAAAGTGTATATGCGCTGGTGAATGAGTGTCGCAATGCATCGAAAGTCTTCTTGTTCAAAAGGGGCCATAAACATTGTTTGCAGCAAACATGAACCAAGACTGTGAAGATAAGCTGTCCACAAATCAGGCATGTTTACAAATTCCACTTTAAATACATATTTCTGGTACGGTGTGTCCCACAAAGGCGCCAACAAGATGGCACGAAAATGGGTCGCTTGACGTCAGCCAAAGTCTGTCCGATCAGGCGCGGATTATGCCTCGCATCGGGAACCATAAAGGGACCGTCTTCGAGTTTTGGGTCGACACACTCGAAGTGACCCACCAATTGGAGTGGGAAAACTATGCTGGGCCAAACGCGCAGGACGAGATGCATCCAGTCGCGTCTTCATCTGACATATGCCAAAAACTCGTCCTCCCAATCACTCAAAAGACGGGTTTATGACAGGAAGGGAAAAGTGGTAGCGACCGAATGAATAAGTGTCAAGTCGAAGTATCGTTGGTCGCCCGCCAGATATATCTTTGGACCTGTCCAGAATTGGGGCACCCAAGTACTATACTCCCCCGGGTCCCAAATGAGCTGGAACTTCAGAAGATCTTGGAATGGAAGACACATTTCAGATTATTTTTCTACTTAAATATGCCTATTTAATTGTCATTTCAAAGAGGTAAAAGAGATTTTATACCAGGTTTCATTTTACTACTTCTCCATAACTCTAGGCAGGATGATATTTTCGACCTCGTCTCACAATCTCGATAGCTGCACTAAAGAGACTCGAACTATAGACGTGTGAGGAAAGAGAAGATTACGCGAATTCTTTTGCTGCACAGCCTCAGCCCCATTGTTTTTCTCGACAAGCTTAACTTTCCAGAAAAAGCAAGTAGCTCGCTCAACTCGACACATTTTTTGGTGACTTTTGTCCCACCTCATTATACTACTTATGAAGGTGTTAGTAGTAATTTCAATAAAAAAATGAGAGCTAACTGAAAAATATTATCTATTATCTGTATCAATTAGGCAACCGTTAGTACTCGCATGAACGACCTTTGTTTCAAACTTGAGATATTCTTTTCAATCGCCACTACCCGTGACAGGATAGGGGGACGTGGCTCCTCAAAGAAACACGCACGATCAGCAAAATTGACGAGTTGAGCCACGTAAATGAGCACTTGATCACAAGCCTCAACATCCAACAGGTCATCCCGTCCATGAGAAGTTGGAAGGAGCAGGAGAGGCCCCAGTCTCACATTGCTCATACACATTGCCAGCAAATGAGCGGGAAAAACGCGTTTTTAAGCAGAAATGGTCGCCCGAAAACGTCAGTTTACATTTTTAATGA